TTGTGGAAAACCTCGGGATGCCGTGCGTGATTCGGCAGGAGCAGGAAGGTGGCGGTCACACATAGGGCTGTGAACGGTTCTCCTAAATAGAAGGGGGGTGGGGGGTGTCCCGGAGCTTTTATTTTTTTTTTTTTTGGAGGTTGGTTCTCTTCCATTTTCACCTTTTTTATTATTTAAATATAGATTTATTTTTATATTAAGACACTCATGATTTTACAAAGCTGTTCATAATAGAATTGTTGCAACACCAGTCCCACCCCCAGCGTCCCCAGGGTCCCTCTGACCCCTCAGCCCGCCCTCTGGACAGGTGTAGAACAATTTTATTTCATATTGCTTGCTCAAACAAAACTTAAAGAAATGGCAGATGGAATTATCAGAAGATAAATCAAGTGTCACATAAATGCCCGTGCATGCATGTATGCTTGTGTAAAAGCATGCATATTAACTGTAAACATGATCTTATAACTAAATTTAGATCTTGATGTTATTCTGAAACATTGAGCTTAATGTACATGTATTTCCAAGATAAAACATAATGCAGTCAGCTTAATTCCATTTATTGAGTATTTTATTATGAAACTATATTTTGTTAGCATGCTGATGGAGAATTAGGTTTCATTCTCTCCCCTACCCCCCGCCATTTTTCTAAGCTGTGGATGGAAGAGATGGGGTGTACAATACCTATTGGGGCCAGAGAGAGCTCAGTAGGCAGGGCGCTTGCTGTGCGTGCAGCTGACCTGGGCTGGGTACCTGGCACCCCATAGGATCCCTACACCCCCTTCCAGGAGTGATCCCTGAGCACTGCTGGCTGTTGCCCCCAACAAGCAAAAAAAAAAAATAGCAAAATTATTCCCTCTGTTATAGAGATGAAATTTAAAACATGGAAATTAAGTAACCTGACCTAAGTAGGAGAGGTGGTGGATAGTGGCGTTAGATATTGGCGGTCTAGTGCTATATCTGTTTACTGAGTTGGAGGTGGGGAGATTCATGTATCACACTTAACCGAACACTACAGGTCTGACAGGGCCAGAGGGAGAGTTCACTGAGTTTGATCACCAATGCCCCATGTAGTCCCCTGAGCACAGACCCAGGAATAAGCCTAGAACACCTCCAGGCGTGGCCCAAAACACAATAATAATACTAATAGTATTATTACTATCCTGAGGGTCATTTCATGTGCTCCCTAAAGCTGTGATATGTGTGTTGCATCTAATATAGGAGAGGTAAGTCCTGTCTTATGCAGAGGAATCACTGAAGGAGGCCAAGATAACCTTGTTCACGTGTCGATCTGAATCTGTGACCTGAACTTCTGGTGGTTTCCTGACAGCGATACCTCTGCTGGGCTGCCTGTGCTTAGCTAAGGTTTAGACGGCTGTCTGAACCGGGGCGAAGGCTTGCTTATCCGAACCGAAGCAAAGGCTGGTTATCCAAACCGGGGCAAAGGCTTGGTTATCCAAACCAGGGCAAAGCCTTGCTTATACAAATCAGGTCAAAGGCTTGGCTATCAGAACCGGGTCAAAGGCTTGCTTATGTGAACTGGGGCAGAGGTTTAGATGGGTGTCCAAATTGGGGCAAAGCTGATGAGTTGTTACTAAATTTGATTTTTTGGGGGAGGCAGGTGGGGATGGAGCTGGAGGCCACAACCAGTGATGCTTAGGGCTTAGGGGACCATAATCAGTGCTGGTTATCTGTGTAACCCAGGGCAGCTGTGTACAGGCAAGCACCCTTCCCGCTGTACTATTGCTCATGCCCTCCTCTTCCTCCTCCCCCTCCTCCCCCCTTCCTCCTGCTCCCCCTCTTCCTTGTCCTTCTCCTCCTCCTTTGACCCTTCTTCCTCCTCATCTTCCTTCTCTTCATCTTCCTCCTCCTCGCCTTCCTCTTCCTCTTTCCTCTTCCTTCTCCTCTCCTTTCTTTTCTTCCTCCTTTTCTTCTTTCTTTATTCTCCTCTTCCTTCCTCCCCCTCCCTCTTCCCTTTGACCCCTCCCGTCCCCCTCCTTCTCTCTTCTCCCCCTTCTCCCCTCCCCCTCCCCTCTCTCTTCCCCTCCACTGGCATCAAAGTTTGATAGGCAGACGTTGTTAAAAATATTGCTGACATGCTTTTCTCTTTTTAGTCTTCTTATTTTTTAATTTATTGACTCACCGCTGAATCCACTCCTTACAGTTTGTTCATGCCACCACCATCAGGTGGGTTCCTGAAAGAAATTCAGCAAGTTTCACCCCAATGTCTGCAGTATGGGATGTTTCTGGGGAAAATAAATTATGGCTTATGGGCAAGAACCTTACATCGATATCTGTCATCAGAGTCACTCATGCGCTCCGTGGTGCCCTCCACACAGTCCTTCCCAATGGAAGTAGCTAAGAACACTTCATTTTGTAGGCCCAGAAGCTCCCCACTAATCTTGGACAGTTCCAGCACTTCACCAAGTGGAGTGTGTCTTGCAGAGCTTAGCGTGTCTAGTGTGGAGGTGGTGTTGGGCTGGGGGTTCCCAGGAGTGCTGTGGGCCTGGACGAGTGATGGGTGCAGAGGAGACATTGGAATAAGCGCCGGCTTTTTCTCCCCACTTTCCATCAACCACCCCAGAAACTCTGCCTTCCCCTAGAGCTGCTTCAGCCTGGCCCCCGCCTGCCCACTTCTGCCCCCCAGAAACTGCTTCCTCTGTCAGTTGCCTTCCCAAGCTAGGGGTAATGGTAGGGGACCTTCGATTCGAGAAGGACAGAGCTTTGGAGGCAAAGACAAACAGTTCACAAAGAAGGGTAGGCAGGGCAGAGGTAGATGGAGCTGATTAACAGTTAGATTTTGAAAAGTACATAATAAATACCTGGTGGCCCAAAAACACGGCCCAGGAAAAGCCATCACACCCTTGTGTTCATTGCAGTACTCTTCACAACAGCCAGAGTCTGGGAACCACCCAAGTGCCGGGGAGCAGATGCGTGGATAAAGAAGCTACGGTGCATCTTCTTCAGTGGAGTACTACATAGCTATTAGAGAAAATGAAGTCAGGAAGTGTGGATGGACACATGCATGGGCACGAAGAGCATCATGCTGACTGAAATGAGTCAGAGGGAAAGGGAAAGATAAAGAATGAGTGCACTCATTTGTGGGATAGTTAGAAAAGAAAAGAAAAAGCATCGTATGTGAACGATACCCAGAGACATTAGAAACCAGGGCCAGGAGAACTGACTGGTCCGTGGTAGAAGCTTGCCGCCAAGTGGGAGGGGAAGTGCAGTTAGTACAGAGAGGGGACCACAGTGACAATGAAGTTGGAAATGATTGCTCTGGACAAGAACCGAGTGTTGGAAGGAGGTAAAGTGACACGCAGGATACCCTTTCGTGTAAACCACAGTGCCTAAGAGGAAAATAAGAGAAAGAATGAGAGATTGAGAAGAAAACCATCTTCCATAAAGGCAGACTTCGGGGGCAGGGCAGGGGGGTGGGACAGAAGGAAAACTGGGGGACACTGGTGGCAGGAAATGTGCACTGGTGAAGGGACGGGGGTTGGAACATTGTATGACCGAAACCCAATTGTGAACAACTTTGTAAGTGTCTATGTCGTGGTGACTCAGTTTTTTAAAAAAGAATTACAAATATAAATACCTGAAGAGACACTTCTGGTTCATTTGAGGGAGTAACTGAGGCCTTTCTCCAAGGGAGACGCTTGAAAATGGGGCTTTGCCTTTGAGGACCCCCGCCCTCCTTAAGCGCCTCACCAGAATACTGGCCCGCAAAAGGGGGACGCGTGTGCGATAGAAATGCCACGCGTTTGCTTACATTTTATTCTGGGAGAGTTTCAAGGACATGGGCACAGATATTGAAAATTATTTTGAGACGTATTTCATCCTGGGTTTTTTAAAAATGTATTTGTATCTCAGAACTTGAAGAGATCAGATGTTTTCTGTACAAAGTGTGTGGGGGAAAAAGATGCTCTGCATGTTGGCTGCATGGCCTCTGCGTCTTGCTGAAAGTGAAATGAAAGGAGCCTTGTACACTGGAACACTTGACTGTACCCGAAGCCCAAGGGATAATCTTCTGATTTCCATTTGGGCTGGTTTTTGCCTCTTTGGCATCTGTCATCAGTATTGACAGGGTGGGGAATAAATGTGGCTGTATAAATAATTGTATTTTAAATTACGCTTTCAGGTTTTTATGAGTGACAATTGGTAACTTATTGGGTGTTTTTTTGGGAAGGGGGTGTCGGTGCTTCAGGGCCATACCTGGTGGTGCTCAGTGCTTACTCCTGGCTTTGTGCTCGGGCTCACTCCTGGCGCTAGAGACCCCGTGTGGTGTTGGTGTTGGGGATGAAGCCGGCATCAGCCATGGGAAAGGCAAGCACTGTTCCTACTTGCTTCCTATCTAGCCCTCATTATGAGTTTGTATTCTTTTTTCAAATGCTTCTTTTCTGTGTCCAACTTGGTGGTAGAAGGTATAGAAAATCGCGCACTTGGGCAAGAATGTATCTTAGCAGGAGAGCACTTAACTTTGAGGTAAGTATATGAGGCCCTGGGTTTGTTCCCCAGCACAGAAAAAGGGTAGGAGTGGGGGAATAAATCTGGGCTTCCAAAGAAGGATGTGGTTCAGTCCCTATGCATAAGGCTAATAAAGCCTCTCATGAGAAAAAGTTGAAAGAGTTAGAAGACTTTTAGAAGCTAGAAACAAGGTCAGTGTTTTGAAAGTACAGAATTCTGCCTTTTAAGTAAAAGTCCTGAATTTTGCTTTTGATTGTTAATTAGCTTGATAGAAAATCTCTCCTGGTGTCAATCAGCTCTCTGTACTGGATCTTTATATATTTGGTGACATTGTTGTGAGTTTCTAAACATGTTTTTTCTATTACGGCTGTGATTTCGGGCTTCATGGCACTGTTCTGAAGATTACTATCAAAGAGTTTTGTTTTGTTTCTGTATATTACAAGTTGTTGCTCTATGTTTTTTTTTAAAGGGAGAATCTAATTTTTTTTTATAAATTTTATCATGTAAATTAGTTTATTCATTATGTTTAATTTTAGGAAACGGTGCTCTTGCAGAACATTCAGAAAATGTGCATATTTCAGGAGTGACAACTGGTAAGTCCTTTTTTGTAATGTTTAAATTTCATGCATGGCTTATATGGTAAATATTGAAAGCCACCTGGTATCTTATAAAGTGATATTTGGCTATAAAAATTATTACTGCATTTTGCAGCATGTAATAAGAAATGAAATAAATGTAACATGGAGAAATTTTCTTAAGATAAAATTGGAACTTGTATGGATTGATTACTAGCTGGACTGCCTAATTTTTCGTACAAACATTGAGCCAAGAGAAGAAGAGTTAACTCAAGTTGAACTAGTGTTTTATACACATACACACACACACACACACACACACACACACACAAAAGGAACCATTAAAAACAACCAGCTTTCATGCTATTCGTAGCATCCATGCCATAGAAATGACATTTTTTTCCCCTGTAGGTAGAAGGGACAAGTTAAGATGATTGTTGGTTGACTAGAAAAAGCTTGGGTGGCTCATCAAGTTGCCGATTCATCCTGGGTAGATGGATGTCTGGGCTGTGGCCCTCCCAGAATGGGGGCGGGCAGATTCCCTCTCTGAGAGATCGGCCAGCAGCCCCTGTCCACACCCTGCATCGTCTGGCATGTAAGTGGCCCAGCTCCACAGCTCTCAGAGCAGATGGCCACATCATCTCTAAATTCCACAGCACTGACCGTCCAGTAGGAGCACAGCAGATTTGATGGGAAACGAGTAGAAGCCCACCAAGCTCCATGAGCAAAAACAGTGAACACAGAAGGTTCAACTAGCACCAACTAGCTCAGTAAATCAGTAAATCCTCAGAGAATGGCTTTAGTAACACCATTGTGAGATATAACAATTATCATAAATTGATTTTTTCTGATCTATTTTCTGATAATTCCATTTTGTTCTAACAAGTAAAATGAAGTAGATTTTTTGTGCTTGCTAAATGGGGAGGAGGAGGCTGGGGAACTGAGGACATTGGTTGAGAGAAGGTCACATTGGTGTTGGAACATTGAATACCTGAAAAATTGATTCAGGTCTTCTTCCATGAACTGGTTATTCTTCTTTGCTGAAACAGTCCCTTAGCCTCAAAGCTGAACAAGCAAGTCTTCCTGCCGCTACTATCTATCCTTTCTCCCTGCAGACCAGTCTGAGCCTTGTCACCTCTTCCATCTCTGTGTTCAAATAAGTTCACTGTACCCTCAGTTTCTGGCAGGGGCCACCCAACCAGGAAACGTGCCTGTGCCCCTCTATTCTTCCAAAACCCTTCAGAGTCCTTCCTCCCACAGCCCCTAAGATGAAACTAAATTCATTAGGAAAACATGCAAGGAGTCCCAGCTCTCTCATTTCACCCCCACACAAATATGGAACCAGACACACTGGCTAAGGTCTCTCATACTGCTTAAGTTATTTATTTTTTATTTAAACACTTTGATTTACAAAGTTATTCCAAAGAAGGTTGTTAAGTCTTATGTTTCGGTAAATATTGCATTGATTGACAAGTCGTTTTTTAATACACAAGTATTAAAAATTGCAGGAAAAAATAGAACATTGAGACCAGCAAAAGGAATAGAGGAATTAAAAATCAGCCATTGTCTTATCAACCTGAATATGACCAATATGGTAACATGCTAGTATCTACAATTACCCTAATTTATTTCTCTCTCTCTCTCTCTCTCTCTCTCTCTTTCTCTCTCTCTTACTTTTCTATGTCCAGCAGTGCTCAGGGGATCACACATAGTGTTGGAGATTGAGTCAGGATTTGGTTGTATGCAAGGCAAGCACCTTAACCCATTACTGTGTCTCTGGCCCTACTACTACTACTACTACTACTACTACTACTACTAATAATAATAATAATAATAAGTTGATGGTGGTGTTAAAAGAAAGTCCTTAACCTTTCTATGGGACATGAGGCACAATTTTTATTTTTAAAAAACAACTAAATACCATACATATACCCCTGAAATTCAGAAACCCACTGAGGCGAGTGCCTTTTATTGAGTCACAGAAAGCTTTTATAACTTTAAAATTAACTTAGGCATTAAAGGTTTTATTCATAGGTGAATTCCAGAGCTTTGTATCCATGTCACTCTACAAACTTATTTCTTCTTGTTATCTGTGATTTAGTGATCTCCTCTGATGAAGCAAAACTATGTTTTCTCTTTTGTCTTATGTCATATTTTTTTTTATTCAGAAAGTTAATAGACTTAAGAGACCCGCGGAGGATGATGAGGCACCAGCCACGGCCATGAACAAGCCTGTTGCCTGTGAGGGAGGAGAGGCTCATGCCCCTTGCCTCAATTCTTTCCCAGTTAGTTCCCCGTTTTCATTCTCTTTCAAGGCGAGTTCTTTGGAAAGACAAACTTCGTTTTTCTCCCCTTTCCTTTCTATTTTGAGCAGCTAGAGAGAATTAGGTGACTTTCCTGGTTGTTAACTGTAAAGTAAGAAGAGTGTTCACAGACATTTTAATTGGCATGACCAAAAGGTTGATATCTCATGCGTGATTTTCATCTTCGCTAGTCTGAGATATTCTTTAAGTTCTAAGGAATACCAAGAGCCGGATCGGTCCACCTCAGTTGCCTGGGCCCAAGTGCTGTCGTCGGCTGAGGTCCTTCAATCCTGAGTAGCCGTTTCATTCTGAATGGAGGCTGAACGTCTGCCATCACCAGGCTGGCGGACTGGGTTCCTGGTGAGACCCTTCTCCTGGCTCACAGGTGACACCTCCCCTCCATACCTTCCCAGGGTCTTTCCCATGCACTCGGGAGACTCCCTGCCCTCTCCTCTTCTGCAGATAAGGACCTGTCTTTCTCTGGAGTTTGCCTCACCCTAATGTGTGACCCGGTTTAATAACCTCAGTTTCCACTTTTGAGGCCAGTAGCTCCCAACGCCATCACATTAGAAATCAGGCCTGCAACCCTGATCTTGATGGGCAACTGTGCTACTGTAGCTGTTCATACTTGGTGATTGGGAATTAAAAGAGAGAAACTGCTTAAAGGCTCATTACTTTCCTTTGCAAATAACAGTGACTTTCGCATGTTTGCACCAATGACAATTTTATTTAAAAAATGTGTTCTCCCGAACAAAAACATCAATAAAAAGAACGGCACTTTAAATTAATTTGGGAGTGGGGATGCCAGAGATTGGGTTAAAAGGAGATTGCTGAAGTCTCATATGTATGTCTGTCTTTTGTAATAAGTTGCTTTGTTTGATGTATGTGAAGACGGTCAAGCTCTACATTGATACATAATTGGAAAGGGAACATTTAATAGCCCTTTAGAATAATCATGAGTATTTTTCAGTAAGACACGGGCATTCGGTTTGTTGAGTTTCTTACGGATTAGTTGCAAGTGGAGTCTGAAACCCTATCGGCAAACTTTTGTTCTCTGTTACATAAAAACTCACTGGTTGCCCTTTGAGGGAATTTTTTAACCATGCATCATTTCATATTGTGTGTTATTTGCCAAATAATGGCTTGCTGATTTACGTGAATTTATGTGAAATATGAGAATTGAAATATGGACAGAGTCAGTATTTTCTTAAGTTCTGAATTTTGCTTCAACTGAAAGTAGGTTCTACTTGTTTTGTTTGCTGATTGGTTTAAAAAGAGTCTACTTGGCTGCTCATGGAACACTGAACTTCTCTTTGAATAAATTCCTATTTGAAAAGAAACTCTGCACCTATTAGTGTGGAAATGTGTTTGTATATTTTAATAGTTTTCCTTGGTCTTGGGTTTCCCTGCCTGTGTTTCAGACCTGATTTAGGCATATGTGGTGGTTGCTAGGGCTTCTTTAACAAAGCACAAAGGGCCGGCTGACTGGAAGAGCAAATTTGTTCTCCCACGGTCCTGGGGGCTATTCAGTACATGGGAAGGTCCTGGAAGGGTGGAGCTCTTGGGAGGCCTCCCTTTGGCTTACAGAAACCAGTCTTCCCACCGCCGAATCTTGGTATCTTCCCGCTGTGTGCCTCTGTTCTATTTTCTCTCTCTCTCTCTCTTTGTTTTGGGGCTACATCCAGTGGTACTCGGGGCTTACTTCTGGCTCTGCACTCACGGGCCACTCCTGGCAGACTCAGGCACCCTGTGGGAAGCCAGAGACCAAACCCAGGTCGGCTGTGTGCAAGGCAAGCACCCTGCCCGCTATGCTCTCTCCGGCCTCTAATCTCTAAGGACACTTGTCATATTGAATTAGTGCCTACCCTTATGACCTCATTTTTCCCCCTTCCATACTTCTTGAGGTACTAGAATTTGCAATTCTTTTCATTATACTTTTCATGCATAAAGTCATCATCTTTTTGTGCTAAATAACCAGATGTGACAAGACCTACTTTTGTGGTTTACTGTAATGGGTATACTACTTTTTATTTTTATTGATTATGGTACTGTGATTTATAAGATTATTAATGAGGCTTCCCTGTACTTAATTCCACCAACACACCCCTCACCAGTGTACCTCCCTCCCTTCCCCAAGGACCCCCCAAGCCTCTCCCTCTCAACCCTCTTCTCCCACTTACAAACCAGTTTCTACATCAGTTCTCTTGCTGTGTTGCCATTGGCCCTTTTTGCTGCTTTGCTGTGCATTCTTTTTGTTTCACATGTAAGTGGGATCATTCTGTATCTGTCCCTTTCCTTCTGGCTGACTCTAATAGCATGATATCTTCTACGTCCTCCCCTCTGCGGCAACCTGCGTAATTTTGTTTGCAGAGTTCCATTTTGTATACATTCCACGACTTCTTGATCCATTCATCTATAGTTGGGCATTTGGGTTGTTTCCATATTTTTTTTGACTGTTGTCCTCAGTGAGATGATGAGCGTAGCTATGTTTTGAATTAATGTTTTTGTGCTTGGGGGGTAGATGCCAAAAAGTGGTCCTTCGGTAGTTCTATTCCTATTTTGGGGATAAATCTCTGTATTGTTTTCCGTAGAGGCCAAGGCAGATGGCGTTCCCACCAGCATCGGGTGAGGGCTCATTTCTCAGCACCGACTTTCCAGACTTTTTGATCTGTGCCATTCTCCCTGGAATGAGATGATATTTCATGTTGCTTTGAT